GTCAGGTTAATGATGTACAACACTTGCCATTGCAAATCCCCATTTTTCTTTTTCAGGGAAAGATTGCAGAACTTCTCCCTCCAAGAAGGAGTGACTGACTGATATACTGTAAACCTAAACATCCTTGCTAGTGTGTGGCTGAAAGGTCTTTGAACCTCAGAGAGCTTACATTTTTATTTATTCCAAATGACAGGCTGGATATCTCTCAAGTGACACAGACATCAAGCTCCGGTTTCTGTGCTGTGACTTTGCATTTCCTGCTTACGCTGTGCAGTGTTTTGGTGCAAACGGATAAGAAAAATGTAGAAAAAAAGGTCCAAAAATAATCTACTGTATCTGCCAACAGAAATTGAAAAGACAACTTTTGTTGGTGCAGATTACTTTATGTTACTGCTTCCCTGAAAACCAGGTAAAAAAAAAAAATTAACAGTCTCATTAGAAAAATCCTAACAAAAAGATGTAAACATCATGTTAAATAGAAAAGCAATTGAATTAGAGAAAATGAAAATGAAAAATGCTTGTTTAAGAAGTTAACGAAAACATCTCTGTGTATAGATACATGCCAATTATTTTTAAAATAGAAGACAGCATGATTGGTATTATTATTTTCTATTTATTTATATTGTAAATGTGAAAATGTGACTAAAATAGGTGTTACAGTACTGTACATTGTCTCCATTTTGGTTACATTAAGTAGTTTAGATATAGTTTTGGAATATTTGCATTTGTTTCTAATTTTGTATGTTCTGAAGTTAATTATGTTTGCACAGGGTTAATTGCTTATGGCCCTGCCTTGTGAACATGCCCAGTCTTATCTATGTGTGAATAACAGAATTCACAAGAATATTGTGTGATTTACATTAATAATACATACATTTACATTATTATAGTACAGATGATTCTGAAGTAGTTGAAACAAAGGAACATAAGTTTTAATACTCTTGCAAAGGTTTTTACACAGGTTTTAAACATACACAAATAAGTAGGTTTAATTATCGAGACAGCATTTCAGCTCCCTCTTCTGGGCAGCCTGAGTAATTTTGTTCACCATTTGTGCAACTTGTTTCAGCAATTTGTGTTCCTATTTGTTTTATTTTCATTTTTTTTTCAAATCAAGTTTTTTTTACCATTTCTAAAATTTAGGAGCAGACTGGTGGAGAAAAAATAAGATTAAGATGTTAATTAAGATTAAGTGTATGTGAAATAATACGTGAATCCCAAGTTTACTTAGCACAGCTGAGGAGATAATTAAAATCAAGTGGCTAAATAATTAGGTATAAGTAATAAACTACCAAGAACTGAGACTGGGCAGCCTTCTGTTATATAATGGTTAGCAACTTATGAGCAACTGTGAGTTTGTTCCTCACCATAAAGATGAATAGAAAGTCATGCTACAATCAAAGATTTCAGAGGTCCTCAAAAATAGTTGATGTTCATCAGTTTGTAGAGAATTAAAATCCATTTCTAAAAATGTGGGTCTCCATCCATCTACTGTCTACAAATGGGAAATAGTCAAAACCATGATCACTCTGTCCTGGAGACAGATGTGCTGCCAAGATCTGCCAGGAGCAACCTGGAATATCATCCAGGATAAACAGTAACCCAGAGTAACATCCAAGAATCAATGTTTCTGCCTCAACTATCGGAAAAAGAAAAGAATGTGAATATTTTTCAGGAAAGGATACCCAGGAAAAAAAAAAACTCCATCTGAAACCTAGAGGGTTTCCAAACTTTTTCTTAGCACAGTATTGTTTATGTAGATGCTTTAAACCAGTAGAGCAGTACTCCTGAGAGTAGGATAATGCTAAACCCTTTGGCAGGGTTAGATGGATAAAATGTTGAATAACAATGATGGATAGGTCAGAAAAGGGGAAGGACATAGGACCTGAGCAAATTAGCTGAATAAATTAACTTTGGTGTGGATTAGTGGTTAGGGCTCTGGACTAGTGGGTCATGCATTTAAACACTGCTCTTGTTCCTTTGAATATAGGTACTGCACTACATTCAACTTGCTTGCCTCAATCCCATGCTGATAAATCGTTCTTCAGGTCATTTTTGTAATTTGTTCCTAGGTGGCTTACATGGAAGAATAAAATAGACTTTTTTAAAGATTTTAAGGTTGTCAGAGTGTATCCTAAGCTACCATTTTGTTGATACCATTTTAAGCATCCATTTTGTTGAAGATGATACGTTAGCCTCTTTCAAGAAACAGCTGGATGGGATTCTTTGATCAATTAACTTCTGACTACCAAGCAGGCTGGACTGGTGGAATAGCCTCCTCGTATTTGTAACCTTTTTTTGTGAGACAAAAAAATGTATTATAGGAGTTATTACAGATTTTCAATTCATTTACATACAATAAAAATACATAAATTCAGAATTTGTATGAATTACATACAAAAAGTTTCAAACAAAACCAAAATGCATAAACTACTGTAAACAACATATCAACACATCAGTTCTCATTACTTTTATATAATAAGCAGCTTCAAGGTTTCTTTTTTAATTAAATAACTACATTATTAATTTATCCTTCAAAATAATTTTAACTAGTGACTTTTCGGACTGTATACATTCAGCTATTCAATTAAAACCTTTTTTTTTAACCTTTTTAGGTTAAAAGGTCTAGAAAAGAAGGTTTTGATATTTGGAAAAATGTAAATCCTCCTTTGTTTGCCCTCTCACTCCTCCTCCCTCTCAACCTTTGTTCTCCCGCTACTTTACCTTTGCCTACTGCCCTGTCTCTCTCACACCTGAAGAAGGCTCCACGGCCGAAACGTTGTGTTCTCTTTCTTCTTTTTTTCAGCATGGAATAAACCTATTACTTGTTCCTTTGTAACCTTTCATGTGTCCTTAAGGATTTGAGGCGATGGCCAATATCCATCCATTATCAGAAAGGTGCTTATTCCTGCTAAGAATTGCAGCAACCTAGAGCAGTTTAATGGTGTGCAGGATAGAAGTTAGTCTGTAATGGGTTGAGCAAGGACTGAGAAAAGGGGCTTGTTAAGGATGAATACATGAACTTTAGAGAAGAGAAAAAGCCAAGAAAGAGTATTGTCTTTGAAAAGCTGTTAAGAAGAGATTGCTTTTTAACTGGGGAAGTAACACATACCCTAATTAAGTGCTAATTAAGTCCAAATGTTTGAATGTTTTTCCAAAAAGCAGAGAGATATTGAAGATAAAGGAAGGCATGTACAGTAGATGAAGTTGCCCAGCAGAAATAAGTGTGATGTGATCCCTAGCACAAGAGTATGTTAGGGATTAAGGAATTAGGAGCCAGGTCTGAGTCAGAGGGGTGGCTGAAAGAAGATGAGGGAAAGTGGAAGCTGAGCAAGAGAACTCTGAAAGTTTTTATTGTACTGTATGTTTCTATCACTTCTTTCCAAGAAGGAGACTTGGAATAAGTCCAGAGCCCCATCTACTACTCCACAGTCCAGTCTGTTACAGTAGGGAGTTATATATAGGAAGTGAAGAATCAGATGGGATTTTAGAGGGAGCAATAAGAAAGAAGATTTTGAATGTCAGATTTCTCAATTGCAGAAAATTTAAGAAAAAAGAAAAGAAACCAAAAGAAGTTAGGGATGCTAGTTGAGGAGAGACGACAGTGAGGGTTATCAGAAGAGTGGTGACAGAGGATAGGACTGCACAAATATTTTGTTTTATATTGTGAAGGCATATATTATATATTTTAATGCATGCCATGTAAAATATGTAGATAGAGCATTTTTCTTCTATTTTTTTTATTTTTTACAACTACAAAGTCTGAGGATCAGTGATTGAAAAAGATCTGTACAGAGACTGTGGAGACAGATACTGCTGCCTATTCATCCAGCAGATGTCACTAGTGCAACACAGATTATAATAAATGGAAATTGCTCATTTGATTAAGTAGCAAAATAGTTTTATAAGGAGAAAATAAATACATGTTATTAAATTAAGAGGATAGTTTGAGAAATTCCTTGGCGACAGATCTTAAATTCTCAGTCTCAGGTCTCAGGTCTTGGAAATATCTGAGATTGTGCTGATTGAAGCACAATGTAAATTTATTTCTAAAGTACCAAAAAGCCTTCTGAGGAGAAATTAAGTTCATTTAGACTTTAAATAATGTAGATGGCTGTAGTTATTTCTCTTTAATATTGGTATAACTTGTTAAATACGTAGGCACATGTTCATGTGTAATTTTCAAAGCATTAAAACTATAGGCGTTTTCAAGTTACACCTTCTTTGATAAACTTGAGCATCTGTTTCAGGCAATTGCTTTTAAAAATGGATTGTGCAAAAGCTATACAAGCTTGGATGAATAGAAAATAAGCATTTAAGTTAAGCAAGTAATGCTGTTTTTCCATCTACTCAGCAAGAGTTCCAGCCAACCACATTTGCCACACAGAGTCAGTTTGTTCAGTTGTTTTCAGCATGTAAATGCTCTCATTAATTAGACCGTAAGAGTGAAAACATAAAAAACTGCTGTCTGAGCCTTAAGAAAAAATATGGCAATCAAAATAAACAGAGAAATAAATTCTAAAAAAATATTGATATCTTAAAGGTTAATATATAGGAGTGAATGAGATTAAAACAAGGCATAGGTCTATCTACAGTATATATAAAAAACTGTCACTAGGTTACTTTTAACAATGTAAAATGTATTTCATTCAAAGTCTGGTTAAATGTTGTACAGTAAATTCTTACAATGTTCCCATTTATAATGTTCACAATATAAATAACTTTTATAATATAATAATATAATAACCCACACAGCCTCTTTAAAATCTGAAAGTTCCAGAATGATTTGTTTTGGGTCTGTTTTCACTCTGTGTGGAGTTTATGTTGGAATAGTAGCTAATAACAGAATATGAGCCAATGGGAAATCCCCAGAAATATACTGTACCAATACAAATGCATAAACTGTATGTGTGTGCGCACACAGTGTTTCTATTTACAAATGCTCATGTAAAAATTAAGAATCTATGTGAATAAAAGGCAAAGAAACAAAAACATTTTCTTAAATCATGGTTTTAATAAAAGCACAAGGCTTTCAGCTTATAGAGAAAGAAACACACAAGATTCCCACTAAGATGTGCAATATCTGTAATTATTTCAATAACACCTCTTGCAGTCTTCCAAAAAGCACAAGGTTCATCACTCAGTTACAAAATGAATTGGACCTGTGAATAAATTGCCACAGCAAACTGAACCCTATTAAACATAAACACCTACCACCAGTATCATTATGTTTTCATTTTTCTCATTTAACTTTGTAAACCTAATACATGTAAGAATAAACATAAATAGTTCGATCCATCTTCAGTAATGCAATGCATGCAACTCGCTGCAAGTTTGAAAAGTATTTGAGACTGTCTAAAAAACAAACTTGTGTCGAGCTCTTCAAACCCAGTAAGAATAAAAGTTAATCTAAAAAAAGAGTCCCAGACTCATAAGAATACAACTTTCTAGTGTTTGGGAAAGACTTTATAAAATCTCTTAATAAAATATAGTCAAGGCAAATTTAAATATGCATAAATAGCTAGAAAATTCTGTCATCTTAATCCAAATGCACATCGATAACACAATAAAAAGAATATTATATGTAATTAAAGGTCCATAAATCCCCTTTTTTCTTTTCTCATTTGTTACTAAGGCAAAATTTTCAGTCATTCAAAATCAAAAGCAATGACTGCTTTAAAACACCTTAAAATACACATAAATAGAAAAAAATAAATTCCAAATCTGCTCCCAAAAAGCAGAAAAAACCTGTTTAATTTAATTTACAAATTTCAACATCTTTGGATGATTTGCTGTTATAAAAAGGGGAACTATTCCATTCATGAAAAAGACATCATCATTAAATATTTTCACATTACTGTACATATTTGTGCAAATAGGATAAATTATCAATATGCACCCTTATAAAACTACTAAATGACCAGCACACTTTTGTAATTTACCTGCTCCAGAACTCCATATTTTTTTCCTTCAACAGAAATAAAATGTTTTGCTGCAGGATAAAATATACAATACAAATAATTCCAGTTTAATGAAAACAGTTTTGTATGTTAAACTGCCTGCTTCCGGGGCATGAATTAAAATTTCCACCCTGAATCAATTTCTGCATGATATCATTTAATTCCAGAAGCCTTTGTGCTGCTGTTTTTTTTTTTATGAGTTAGTGTTTGGATTTAGACATTGCTAGCCCCCTCAGCATTTTAATTACTTTCACCCAGTCTCCAGTAGCTACTTGTTTTGTTGGGTTTGTATTATCCATTGTGGGAGGATTACATTTTTGTCATCCATTGACTGAACTGCATTGAAATGTTCTTAAGAAGGTTATACACCAAAATGAAACTTCCCAAATGTGAATTTTAACTGATATAATCCTTCTACCTGCTCATTTAACTCTCGTACTAATTTTACCCTTTCTCAGATTTATTTTTTTTCTGACTACATTTCCTTACTTTACAATAAAGTAGCAAATGAATACAGGAGGTAGTGCTACTATTGGAAACTTTGAGAACTGTGAGCTTAATGTAAAACTACAGTAGGATGGCTTCTCAATGACACATGGTGCAAAACTGATGTGTACTTCTATTTTGATTTTCAGAATGCATAGCGAAAGCAACAATTCTCTCAACTGCAGTTGGGTTAGAATTCTAAAGGGTTGGAGTAAAGGTCTTGGTTATACTTAGTTTGTTGAGGAGTTTCAAACTGCACATCCAGTATTTTACTGTGCATTTCAGATTTTATTTTTATATTTTTTTAATATATAAGTGAATATATATATATATAAATAAAAGCATCACAATAAAATAAGTATTCTAGCAATAGGATATCAGAGGGGAAAAAGATAATTTGCCCAGTGATATTTTGAACTGGCTGATAACACCCAAATGCAGTTTGTCACTGCATGATAAATCATATCTGATTGGTATGTGGTTTATATAAAAATGAACTGCTGTCTGCTGGCAAACTCGAGGGGCTTTAGTATGCTCCAGGTTTTAATATAAAAAGATGCAACCCACACATAAGTGTTTATTATCATTTAGAACTAACACTATTACAGTGTTTCTTGTTTTCCAGTACATAACCTATTGCTATCTTCTTTATTTGTACCCTATTTTAAAATACAGAGTTGTTATACAGAAGTTCAGGAGGAGGTTAAATTGCAATCTCACATTACCCTCTTCTATACAGTAATAAAACCTGCACCTTTTTATGTGCTTCTCCCTCCACTCATCTTCACACATACAGCTGCCTCTCCGGTTCATTCCTCCAAAATGAGAGGGGATTAGGCAGCCTTGACTTTATGGGCAGGGCTGTTAATTCCTTAATCAGGTGAGTCAATACCAAACACTAAAGTATTAAGTATTCTATCCCTTTATATTTGTTGTCTCAATGTGTTATTTAGAATTTGACCTCTACATCCAGAAATTGGTATATGTAATTGAAATGGGGAAATTGTACTTAGTTAAATGTGAAAGTCTTAATAGAATGCTTTACCAACATCTACTTACTAGCATGTCTGTGAAATATAAGAGGGTGGATAAATCTAAGTATGTATAACCTGTATGTATAGAGATTTCATCCAATTTTTAGAGACATTTATTAGGTATACATATTCTTTAATGATACCAATAAAAGCAAAAGCTAAAAGTGTTGCTAAAAACAAAGTTGTACTCTTTTTCTGAAGGATTCAGCTTTGTACATCATTAAAAGGTTTTCTTTATAAAAAGATTAACAAAATCCCCAGAAGAAAATGTCATAATTTTTTAGTCCTTTACAATACATATATTACAAGTGTGACAAACAGGCTGAAAGCTAAATTCATCATATTCAACAAAAAAGAATGTCCATTAACAAGACTTTTAACCTTTTGAACTACAGCATCTTGTCTTGCTAGCACTGAGACTTACAACAGTAGCTATGAATACCCATTATCCTGTATAACCTTCTTAACCTTCTCTCATTTTGACATCATTTGGTAAACATGAGTTTGGTAAACCTGTATTTAGGGCAAGGTTTCTTTCTGAGATGCAAATGAAATCCATCTTAATTACACAGAAAGTTACAAGGCTTAAGAATCTATGATTTATGAAAATTTGTTAAATTAATGAGGTCCGCTATTTGGTTTTGTTATTTGTTATTATTATTTTTCTTATTTTCCATTACATGGAGACTTCTGTCAAATTAGACACTGTTAAGGAAAAAAGTCTAACAGCATTAGCATCAGCCAATGTCATATATCCATGAATTTGTAAAATGTCATTCAGCATCACTGTAAAAAACTTCATAATTTTACAACATCTGAGTCTCTTTTGCTGCTTTCTAACTCTATCTGAGATGTTGCAGGTCACAATCAATTGAAGTGAGCTTATCAAGAACAAGAAATTTAATTAAATGATGCATTGCACCTCCTGTGGAATATATGCACAACATGTACTTAAAGAAACCATACAGATTTGCATTACCTTTGACATAAAGTTATACCTGTGCTTAAAGTCCAGTCTCATATAACACAAATTTATTTGTTCTTAAATTTTACAATGAATTTGCACCAGCAAGTAGTTCCATTGAGGGTGGGCTAGAAGAAGTTTGACTCAAATGATTCATGAACTAAGAGATATATATTTCAATCAAGTTCTCTAATGTTAAAAGTTCTCAAAGTTTTTGTTTAAATACATTGAAACATTGATATGAAATACAGTAATTCTGACAGTAATAATGACCAATAGACTATAAAGTTGGTGGATTTGTAAATACCCTCTAGAAAATAATATGAAGGAACTCTTCTGAACTCCAGCTTAACATAATCATAAAGGGATAAACAGGATTTATTCAGGATCTGTTCTATCCAATGTAAATCATATAGTATTGCAAAAAGATTCTATTGTTTCCAAAATTTGAAACAAGCAAATAGAAATGAATTGATTCCATATTTTGAAGACTGAGAAAAAAAAACACAGCTGTGTCTCTGATGAAACCTCTCTGGCATAAATGTCCTGAAGGATTATGGGATATCCATTTGTCCATAGGAATATCATTAGTTTCTGGCCTCTGGAATGGGAGCAATGTGGTCCAATCTCATTCCCCAGGGGTCAGAGTTGTTTGAATAGAATGACCGATGGGGAAGCCCGTCATCACGGGCCAAAGCGAAAGCGAACACCCCCCTGTTTCTCTCCCTGTCCCCTACAGGGTTTCTGTCTGACAGCTTGGCCTCCAAACTTTCTGTGCTGTTGTTGTCCAAGTCTTCCACGTTCAAATTCCTTCCACCGAGATGGCGTCGCTCCAGGAAGCCGGCTCCTGGAACACTGAGACCAGGAGCCAGGAGCCTGCCGCCCATGGAGAGCCCCTTGTCGTCATGGTGAGCGGTGGGAGGGTAGAGGAGATTGGAGGAGCGCCAGGCTGCAGGTTTTCGGCCCCGGCGTGGCCGGGAGGTGCGACAGCTCTGCCTCTTGATGTGGCGATGCAGGTGGTCGGAGCGCGTGAAGCTTTTGTAGCAGTGCTCGCACTGGTAGGGCCGCACGCCTGTGTGGATGCGAAGGTGGTTCTTCAGGTCGTAATTGTGCACAAATTTGGAGTTGCAGTGGAGACAGATATATGGGCGCTCTCCTGTGTGCTTCCGCATGTGGATCTTGAGCTTGTCCTGTCTGCAAAAGAGACAAGGCAGCAACACCAGAGAGGTTCAAGTGGACATCGGTGAAATTCGTTTTTGAACAAGATCAGAGTAACAAAAATATGAGATAAACACACTGGGTATAGATCATGAGATACTGCATAGTAGGGCCTTGTGTGTGGTAAACTCTGCCCGTCCAAAAAAAAGAAATTTGCTGGTATAAAATTGTGTCATTAATTCTTTTCACAATCCCACCTTGCTATGCTGCTGAAGGCGGTTTGAAGGCAATTACCAAGAACAGACAGGTATAGGAACCCTCCAACCCTTCTGATACCTTTTTGAAAATCAAGAATCCTATTTCAAATTGTCGAATTTGTCTAAACTTGCTTCAAGTTGTGGGAGTATTTTAAACTAAATGCATGTGTTACGGATGAAATTGCTCCCTAGAGGGCACTCCACTACTCCTTTCATTAGTTCCGTGATTGTTGCTATGTTCCCCAGGTCTGGCCTGTTATGTGTTAACCGCTATTTAAAGTCCAGCACCTCCAGTCCTCGGGATTCAACATTAGGATACGGATGTCACAAGGTCCGCCTAGCACCAGGATACCCTGTGTCCGTCTCCTGAGAGCATAGGTTTCATCCCGACTCCTCCCATGTTCTGAGCCTGGAGTCTGGAGGACTTCGCCCCGTTATCCCAGGATCTCCATGTCGGTTGTCTGTTTGTGTTTTCCCTATTCCCGGAGATTTTAACCTCATCACGTCTCAGGATGGATCTATTGTTAATGGACTCTTGGACTGTGCCTTGACCCCCCTTCGGACCTGCTCGGATTTGGATGCCACTATTTGTCTCCCCCACTCACTGTTTCACTGACTGTCACTATTATTTTGTGCACCATTAAACCCCTGTGTGTTTTCCCATACCACGCCTCCTGTTTCCTCCAGCTCTTACTGCATCGCATAGTGTCTACTACAAAACCCAACACTGACTGCAAACCCTGTGCGTAACAGCATGCTATGTTCACATGAAGCATGAACTCTCATTCTTTTAATTCTAACCAAGAAAAGAATATTAATAATTGGGCCTGCTGTATATTTTTGGATGAAAAATATTTTTTATATTTAGTTTAGAAACACATAAAACATAAAGTCTTGTGTTGTGTAATACTTCCCTCACTCATGCGTTAAAAAGTGTTTTTCCCATCTGTAAATGAGGCTTTTCACCCACCTGGTGAAGCGGACCTCACAGATAGTGCACATATATGGTTTCTCTCCAGTGTGGGTCCTCATGTGACGAGGCAGCTTGCCTGCTCCCTGGATGACCTTGTGGCAGATGGGACACTGCTGGGAAGCCTTTGGCTTCATTTTCCTCTCCTCCTCCAGTTGCCATGGTGGGAAGAGACTCCCCAGGTGGGAGGCACTGAGGAAGCTCAGGTAAGAGTTGAAGTCCCTCTCCTCCTTAATAGACCCCAGATGGGCATCAGCCGCCATGCCCATGCTTGTGCTCATGAGGTCCTTCAAGAAGTCACCAGAGAAGAGACCAGCAGGTATCTCCTCCTTCAGCTCCTCTTTAATTGCTTCCTTCTTGACCACCAAATCCAGTGGGCTGTTATCCACCTCTTGGAGAAAGGGATGAGGAGTAGGGTGGTGGTCTAAGATCTGAGGAAACCCTGGGAAATCTGCTGCCCATATTGGAGGAAAAAATCCAGGTAGGAGTGGGGAAAAACTCTGCCTTTGGTCAGTGGCAGACATCTTTGGATACAGCCCTTCCTGCAACAAGGACTCAATGGAAAAGTCTCTCAATGCTCTGCTTTCTAAGCTCTCAGAGTCTCTGGGTTTCTCCATAAGCAGCTCTGTGCTTTCAGAGTTTTTCTGTCTCTGCAGAAAGGAGAGGCCTTCTTGCTGCAAGGTCCTTGGAGGAGATTCCTGAATCCTTTTGTTCACTACTTTTTCCTGAATCTCTGACACCTCTATTGTGTTGTCAATGTCTTCATCTCCTTGTTCTTTGTGTTCTTCCCCCTTTGCTTCTTCGTCTTCTCCATCGTCTTCTTCTTCGTCTTCTTCTTCTGGTTCCTCTTCTCCACCTGTCTCCATGATCTCAAGGCACACATTAATGATGCATGGGATCTCCAGCATCTGGGCTGCGCTGAGGATGTCTTTCACGTTGGAGGCAGTGATGGTGAGAGTGGAGGTGTAGGCAAACTCCAAGATGGCAGCCAAAGACTCTGGGGCGACAAAGTCAATTTCGTAGACGCTGTGCACCTCACCGTCAACTCCCACTGTGAAAAGTTTCTTGAAGTACTGACTGCAAGCAGCCAGGACAGAACGGTGGGTACGATACTCCTGGTCGCGGACAATGAGCACTACATCGCAAAGCAGCCCATCGCGGCGTTGCTCATTCAGACTGCAGAGCACCTCACTGCTGTGGTTGGGAAAAGGGATCCCTATCAGGTCATCATCTCCACTCGCCATCATCTCGTCAAATAATCTGCAAAAATGAAGCAGAAGGTCCGCAGTGAGCAAATCGTAACATAGTAGCACAGGTATATCACATAGGAGAGGTTGTAATATTCTACTCTGACATCAAATATACAGTACAAGCATTAAAGGCAAAGAGTAAAAATAACTTTTGTTAAACCTCAGAAGCAGCTAATCATACAGAAAGTATCATGTCAGTTTTGCAACTACAGTGTACACTGATACATCTTAGCAAAAGTGCTAATAGAAATGTGTACTCAGAAATAGCATGAATTTATATGGATAGTGGAGTCAGACGGAATTTATATCTTCCAAATGTATGTTGTTGTCATGTTTCATAACTGATATCTTTGATACATTGTATAAAATATGTTTCCAAAGATTAGTCTTTCATAAACATACTGTACAGCTTCCCCTAATGTATAATTAGTTCATGAGTGTACAGTAGCAATAGAGAAAGATGGACTGGGTGCATCTCCTATTGTCTATAAGGAAGGAAAACCTCATGTGCATCTTCATGTGAGAAATATTGTGATCATATACAGGAGTAGTTATATATTTGCCAAAAAATATTTATGACATTTTTCTTTTTTAAATGTAATGGAAATCTTTAGCAGTTAAAAAGTGATAAGACACCTTATTGTCATATCAGTTCCGTCATCTTATTTCAGTAAACATTTAATGCCATTAAATCTAATTGAATAGCACAAATTCAATATAATTCCTATTTCCTAGAAAGACTTCTGACTGGCATAAAGCCAGTTACATTAAAATTAAAATTCACCTGAAGTTTTTTACTACACTGACTTGTATGATCCCTCACATACAGACTAATTTGCTACAGTATATGAGACTGACTCAAGGAAACAATCTTCCACAAAATTATTTAAGACAAATAAAAATCAGCCCAACCTTCTCTAGAAACCAAATAGAACATCAGTTTTCAGCAATGGCTATGTAGAACTGTAACGTTTACACGTATGCTCTTCGTGATTGCAGCATTAGTACAAACTTCAGTTAAACTTCCAGTCATAATGAAACTGATGTGCCATAAATGTAAATATGTCATGCTTAGCTGCATCCTGGTTTCATCTGAAACATTTAAAACAAGCTATTAACTTTAAGGTGTGTTTGATGCCGATTCACATCCCTAGAGGGATCTAGCAACTCTTGAGAAAGAAAAAACTCTGAATTTTAAATAACGTATTGCATATCTGGTATTTAAGACAAAAAATGGAAACCAGATAAAGGTATGCATTGACAATACATAATTGTGTCTTTATAAAATTCTAATACATTTATAAAACATCAACCATTGTATTCAAAGTAGAAAAATCTACTGTTTAAACACTATCACGTTTTTATGTGTATTTAAAGTTTAAGCATTGTTCTATTGGATTAAATTTGTGCAATTGTGTATTTTGATTAACAAATGTGCCATTCAAGAGTGAAAGAAGTACCAAGACATTCACAATAAAAATGATTACTGTGGAAAACATCAGCAAATCTATAGAAGAAAAGCACAAAATCATAGCAGAATTCTTTTTTTAATTGAATTTTGTAGAGAAATATCAAACGGTGTTTGATTTCCTATGTGGTGTTGAAACAGAGCAAGAAAAAATCACAGGAAGACAAATGGGGTCAGGCCTAAGTTTCCATAAAAAGATAACATGTCATTTCACAGAAGTTATTTGTTTTTTTGCATTCACATTTGTCCACCTCCTATAATTTTAACTATCTAGACACTGACAGTAGACTGAGGTTCCTTCTTGTATGACCGAGTAGACTGCCAGTCAGCAATTTAAATTCAGAGCTACTGTAAAGTTTATGACCGCAATAACTTAGTTGTCTGGTATGAGCTTCTTACAGTCTAATGTGCTTTTAATCTAGTGTTCATATTTTGAAAAACCCAAAAAATAAATGCCAGTCACACAGTTTAATGTCAAGGTGATCCACATCTTCAGTGTTATGTAGACAGAGCATTATTAGACAGTAACATTAAAGCAGTGGGGAGGGTGCTATGACAAGGATAAAAGGTCACTTAATATTTAAGTGACAAGAACACTTTAAGGGTATTTGTTTTGTTCTAACTTTGCATTCTGTCAAATTTGGTGTTACTGCAATATAGTGCTTAATATATTTTACAGGGTCTTTTTGGTAAACTGTCTAACAATCAACTCAATTTTACATTTCCACTAAATACATAATAAATCCTATCTATGGTAGCGGGCTTCTATTGCTGAGTTTGGACATCGGCCTGAAATTTCTGGTCCAAAAAGGAGATAACCAACCTGCCAGCTCACGTTCTTACCTGGCCCAGAAACTGTTTAACTCTGAGGTATGTAGCTGACATTGTAATTATTTAGATTTCAATTAAATAGATACCAAAGTATCTATGACAGGATATAATCCCAGCACGTATTTGTGTTCAATAAGAAAATTAAGCCCTTAAATTTTCCTCCTTTCAATATATAAAGAAGCTCCCCGTTGTATCTTTATTTTCTCTCAGCTTGGATAACTGCAAAACACATCTCACTGAGAGGCCACTCTGTTCCTTCATCTGACTATAGTTGGTTTGAAGTGGTCTGAGCCATCTATGCCAAATCTGGCTAATGCTGTGGAAACTGCCTTTCATATCAGATGAACAACATTCAAGACTCTTATCTTAGCTGAATGACCCATGCCCCAATTCTCTTTTGCCAACTACCAGAAAATCTTATATACTGTATGCCTGTGCTGCACCCCCAAATCATGCTTCTTTTAATCTGTATGCAACTCCTATGCCCACATTTCTGATTCACTAACAATATTCAACCTATCAGATGTGAATATTCAGTTTTTGCATAAGTTATTAAACAGCACATTTTATAACAGGATATAAAACATTCAATAGCTTTTTGTAACTGGATATTTGTACATTACCTGAGTAAATCTCAGGTGCTATTGTATTTTACCTCTTGAGCAAAGTACATTTACACACATTTCTTCAGTAAAGTGGTATTTCATCTTGGATAGTTAATAAAAAATTAAAAGGTTATAAGAATAATTACAAAAAGAGTGAGTCCTACACATTTGTGAAAAGGATATGAAAAAAAGCTTAGTGCATTTCTCTGAAAGGTACAGTTTGTTACTGTAGAACTCATAAAAATATTTAACATATTTCTACTCTAGTAATCAAAGACTGTTAGTAGTTCTTGCTGATGATTCAAATAATACACAATAATAATAGGAGTACTTGAAGGTAAATGATTGTGGTATTTGTGTTAAACAACCTGATTTCAAGGATTGTTCAAAACATTAAACTTCCTACCACAGATCTGAAATGTTTACACATCTGCATATGTTTTACACAACTCTTCCAAACTATTGTACATGTACAATAATACATACTAAAAGTCAGCTAGATGTACATTTATGGTGTGTAACAGTTAACAAAACTGCAAAAGAGATCAAGTATATGAGGAACAAGCAACTGGAATTTTAAGATTCAAGAAAGATAATTTTTTCACTTCAGATTTGATATAAAAATGTGAAAATGAACACTTCATTTCTGTATTCTATAATGATTAATTCAACTATGTGTATTCATTTAAGGAATTCATGAAAATTTCTTTGTCTTTTAATCAGAATTGATTGGAATAGCAATAGCATTTAGTCATTAACTAGCACCCATCGATTTTGGTCAGTTTAGACCATACTGAAATACTGTGGCAGTAGATGAAGCGACTGCAGTTGTAGGACACCTACCACTAGAGGCCACCAAACAGCCTCTAATGCTTGTAAATAGACGATAATAAGTTAATTGGTAAGATAAAAGGTAAAGGGTGTACCTGCACATTCTCACATGGGTTTATGTAGGATTTATCATGGTATAAAAAGGATATATGCCTGGTGCTGGGGATGGTTGTTTTCAATGTTTTTCTTTTGTTAAAAACCTCAAAACCTTAGCCACTTGAACATTTTTATGTGTCCAGATACTTCAGACCATGCTTGTTTAAGGTAGGATTGGTCATAAATGAGTTTTCCAGTATTGGTTCAGCTTTGTTTTTTTTTTTTACATTTTGCCTTAACTTGAAATGTGTTACAAAGGCATGGGTTAAAATGAAAGTTCATCCCACTCACCAATGGCAAATTCCAAACCCAATACTTTATGGTGTATTTCCATTGGGTAGGCACAAGAAACCTCTGGCAAACATAAACCTACCATCAAGTGACAGATTTGGAATCTACAATTGACTGGTGGGTTTTATAACATCCAGGCTATAGCAATGCAAATATGAGCAATAAGAATAGTTTTCTTTGACCCAAGAGGAATGGTAACCATTCAATCCAAGATTTATTTTTTTTAGGTTCCCTGGTATCTTATGGAGCACACTACACAACTAAAACACAAAATTTAAATTATAAACTATAAATACAGTACATAGTAGTACTTCAAGTTAGCAAAAGTGTAATAGACCACACATGCACCATGTAAGAAAAGGTAATAAAATGAAAACATCACAGCACGTGCTTGTTTCATATTGTGGCTCCTCTACCAGAAGAACAGACTAATTCTTGTTCACTGTGTCTTTTAGGGTTAGTTTCCTTGCAGTTGCACTTTGGGTTTTACTGTCATTGCTTGTTTGCAGAGAAGCTTGTGGACAATCATGGTACTTCAAGGAGTAGTTCCCTCAAATGAAAGCAATATCGTCTCTTTCATTAAATAAAATTGTCCCAGTTAATCTTTCTAGCTTGAGCCACAAGAGTGCTCACAAAACACTCTTGCATAGATGCAGGTACAATCATGACACTGGAATAATGCTGAAAATAGTTCCCATTTAGAATGGGAGATAGAAATACCCATGATCATTAATGGGTTTTATAATCAAGGTGAGAATGAGCCAGGATTGAGGATTAATTTTGAACACAATTGTTCTGGAAAAAAAAAATAGCATCCTAGTATTATACAATTTACCTTCTATTATTCACTAGAAAATAAATCTTGAATTAAAAAGAAACAATGCAAAA